CGCAAAGGATTTGAAAGCAAGCAAAGTGACCCTACTTAAAGACTACAAGTATTTCTCTGTATGTATGTGTGTGTGTGGTGGAGGAGGGAAAAGCTTTCTCACTGAATCTATGAAAATATTTCATATCAGCGAGGAGGAGACAGAGAATGGAATAGGAGTGCACTGTATGCAGAGGAGAAAAAAAGGGTACAGAATTAAGAGATTAAAGTAGCTGCAGGATTAGGCTCCAGGTTTTAATGATGGAAATGGAAAATCTGTGAACAGCGTCTGACACATTCTCTCTGGCCCTCTTCTCCTCTCCACTGCCTCTCTCCATGTGTCTCCTGCTGATTGTGTAGAACACCTCCAGGGATGGCCAGCTTCTTTCCATTAAAGAACATATATTTGTTTAAAGGACACTTATGTGCAAGCACATGTTTTCCCAGCCGAGCTGGTTAACAATTACTATATGGACAGGACTGCACTTCCATTTTTGTCCACACAAACACACACATTCACGTTTGCACTCACATGCTAACTTGTGGACTGTAAATAACAAGATTAAGGTAATAGTCTGGTTGAAACACTTTACAATGCATGATTCACAGTAATCAGACTTCCAAAATAACCTGAACCTGTATAATCAGGTCTGGACGTTGCATAATCACTTAATGCCACAAAATAAAGGGAAGAAAATTGAGGTCATTGTTTATATTTATCTGGTCTTGTAGGGCACATTCGTGTGATTAATGTTATCTTTGCAGCTTTCCTTGGTGTAAAGTAAAAGCTGCTATAGCCACTTGCAACCATAAAATTAACCCCCCCACCCAAACTTGCCCAAGCACACATGCATCAACAGACGGACTAAAAAGTCCGATCTGTTATTCAAGGGCGTGAGTCAGCTACTCTGATTCAACCCTGATTAAGTGCCTTACTAAGCTGCAGTACATCGAGTTTTGCACTCGGAGTATCGTATAATGATAAGACTTTTTTTTTAATCATTCAGGATCTTTGCACTCAATGATTTCAACTCATGCCAAAGTAGCGATTGCCTCTTAGAATAATTGCATCAAAGCAGTCTGATTCGGGTCACTCCAAAACCCCGATAAAGAAAAAAAACTGCAGAATGTTTCAGAAATTATCCTTCAAGTGTGTTAGACAGCTTGACTGCCAGCTTCCGTTTTAGGCATAATAATTAGGCCTCACTTCTCTTATCTCCTCTAAAGCCTAATTTTATTAGCACATACTACTTGCACAAAATATTTCTATCTTAAAATGTGAAGCTCTTCTTGACTGCTGAGATGCTGAAGTATCTCCGCTCTCACTGCAACATTGTATTTCACGAGGATCACTTTCAGCTGTGCTTTAATTGTCAGGAGAGCTGACTGTACTGAAGATAACTCATGCCCAGAAGAAATGAGATGCTAATGTATTGCTGGCCATTTGAAATAAATCTGCAAGGTGCTCTTTTTATGCAAATGCAAGGCACCCCGCGTGTCAGCAAAAAAAGGGGAGAAACAGATAAGTTAGTGGCAGCTTTCCCCACTCTGACACTCACTGTTGTTGCTCGAGGCTGCTGTGGTCTACAGGACATTACCTGAAAACAGATGACTGGTTCCTTTGAGAACGCCTCATGGATCTCTCATTTTTTCTGATTACTCATTATGGCATATCACTTAGAGAAATCCAGAGAAATCCTGAATCCAGTGCGCACTAGTTGCAATCCAGTAAAAACTTTAGGAAGTGACTTTAAAGAAAGACTTGATGGTATTTCCCAGTCCGCTAATCATCACCGTATAGCTACAATTGCTGAGATTGATCTCACATGGTTAAATATTCTGTCTAAGAATGTTTTCTGTCAGTCCTGGTCCCACTAGACTGCTTTACCTCTTTATTTCAAAGGATAAGTATTCCCTTTGTTGGAGGGCTAAGCCTCTCGACTTCAGAGATCAAATCCTCTTGGTGCATCTGTAATAAATCAAGGGGCCAGCTTCAGGAGGTTATACCAAAAAAAAGAAAAAGACAAAGGGTGAAAGAGAATTGGGAAGTGATCAGTTTCTTATGGAGAGACCCAAATCCAAATCAAGAGCTTTGTTTTTGGATGCAAGATGCCTATTTTGTCTAACATGACTCAAACACAGCAGCCTGTGCAACTTCTGCGACAGTAAATATGGAATTTTAAATTAGAGAGGCTCATCTTTTCAGTCCTCTGCATGTGATCTGACTCACGAAGCTCATGGTGACACTCCATTGAGCCCGGGAGACTGGCCAACACACTGTCGCCATCCAAGCCAATGTTGAAAGATTAGAAAAGTGGAGAAAAGGAGCTGATGAGGCAATACTCTCTAATGAGCTTCAATGCGGAATCTTTACTATGGATTTCTCAGCAATCAGCAGCCAGTCGGAGCTGTCCTGAGTGTTGATGCCGGTGTGAAATATGGTAGGACTGACTGGATGGCATAAATTGTTGTCATTATGTAGTTGTTAAAAGGAGCTATCTCTTTGGCGACTCTTTTGGACTGTGAAAACCTTAATCTGTTGCTAATCCTCTGCTAAGAGCCAGAGGATATCTCTAGTGCTGCTTAGCAGGTACCAGTGCCTGATAAAACTATTCTGTTTGCTTAACCATGTTTAACTTCACTCTCAACCAACACTCAAGGATTAAAGCCTTAACCGCAATATTAACCCAAGCTAAAATGCATCAGGCTGGAGGCAAAGTGCTGATGGAAAGTGCTAGGATAAGGCAACATCATTAGGACTTCTAACCAGAGACACCCACCGGGTCTCATTATGGGCCTAATGGAAAAGCAACAGGTTACATCAGGTCAAATGAGGCAGGCAGAGAAATAAAATGATCAAAAAGGAAAGAATTACTCATAAAAACATCCTCAAAGCTGCATTCATTAAGTCAAAACTCTACTGTGTGTACATATATATATACTCGAGGCTCTGTGTAATATTTATTGCTCGGTAGCAGCTTAATATGAAAGCAAATGAAACATGGGTGTTTTTGTCAAAGCAAAACAAAACAGAGGTCTGATGTTCTCTTGCATCACTGGTAACAGGATGCTGGCGTAGACATGGAGGAAAGTTTATCAAAAAGGTTTTAAAAATTCAAAAGCATTTTGTGTGTTAAGTTGCAGTTGGAGAAAAGTAATTAGGCAAGAGTCATTATGGTGAGTAACTTTTAAGAAGAAGAAGGAGGGTTTGTTTTTTGGTTTTTTATGTGGCTCAACACCCCACAGCTGTAAAACTGTGCTGGGCACGAGACACATTACTTATTAACTTATTAGTGTGTATTTCGGTAACAAATAGTGTAAGTGTCGACAATTTGAAACTCAGACATCATATGATTATGAGTTCCAGAAAGCCTCTTTCACACCAGCAGTTTTAAGGGTCGGTGTATTTAATGTTCTTAATTTAATTTAACATCAGATTTATTCCGTTGGGGGTCAGGAGACAGGTTTGGTTTGGATTCCTCCTGGGTGTTTCGCTTTTGGAGGTTTTCAAAGTATGCCCAACTGGGAACAGTTCCTCGGGTAGTTGGCTGGGGAGAAGGTGATCGGGAATACCCTACTTATCCTGCTGCCACTGTCACACAACTTTAGATCAGCAGAAGCGATGGATTTCAGAGTGTGAAATGTTTTATTGCAGTTTCTCTGAGTGTTGCACAGTCTGATCTACTCACACTCCAGTAGAAGCACTAATGGTGTTTTCATGCTCGCCGTGCTCCCCCCTGTAATGTGTGACGCACGCCTAGTTTGACGCCACATCCTGTGGCGCATACCAATGTATTTGTAACGCTTTGGCCAACTGTTCACTTCTTCGTAACCCCGCCGCTGCCACAGCTGAATTGAAGACACGGGTGTACCATCGTGCCAGTTTTTGCCACCATCTTAATGATATTCCAGTACAGAAGCTGAGAAATGTACACATATTTTTTGACTTCATGTCCTCCAATATCAGCACCTATGATTCCTGCGCCTTAATGCATAAATAGAAGTAGCTGTGTGATAATGCAGTGGCGTTCAAAAGCAACCAATTCGAGGGTATACTGGTGCTTTAAGGGTGTACTTATTCTTTTACACACTGCTTCTGTAGTTTGGCCTAATTTTTATTAAATACATAATGACGCAGTGTAATATGTTATGTTTTATTGTTCATCTGAGCTGCATGTACATCACTTTAAGACCTCCCAAGGACCAGATTATATTTTATCATATCCTCATACATTAAACCCTAGAACTGCACAGTGTGTACTTGCGTTTTTTTAGTGCCTGTGAATAATCAGGAGCTAGAAACTGACAAAGTAGCATACTATGGCATACAAAGTAGAAGCAGGCACTCTTTAGAGTTCAAATGTACACTTTAAAGCCAAGTTTAAGATTTAAGTTGTTTTTTTGTATAAATGTTAAATGCAGCATGTTACAAAAGAGCTGCAGAGGTGGTGGCAGGCTGGTTTTCAAAGCAAGTCGTTTCCCAATTGCTAGGCTAAGCTAAGCTAACCACCAAGCTCCATACTGCGGGAGAGTCTCCTTCTCATGTCAGAGTGAAAGCAAGTACGCACATTTTCCAGAATGATATTACTGCTTGTTAAATGGTTGAATACTACTATGTTCAGAATTAATACACAAAGTAAATGTAAAATAAATTCTTTCCCCTTATTTTTATGGAAATCATTTAGCCCATAATGGGACTACACTCACACACACCTGGTAATTCATTAGTGCAGCTGGATGAGCATTTTATGTGGAGCAGATAGAGGAACAAATGGTACTGTGCATTGCTTCATGTAGTCATTATTGTCATTATTATTCCACATTCTGGCTGCCTGTAATTACCCACTTTCCTTCCTGGTACACCGCTTTCTCTTTCTGATCCCCCCCTCGTTCCAAAAGTGCGGGCTGGAAGATAATGTAATCACAAAAAGAACGAAATTGCAACGCTTCTGAATCAGAGGCAGAAAGGAGTACTGTAGAAGGGCTTTGAAGTCAGACAGTTAATATTGATGAGGTGAGGCGTTTTAGATGATTAGCACCAGAGATTTCACTTCTGTCTTTTATTTTTGCATCATTAAGGTCAAACGCCTAAAATTTCAAACTTTGCTTACATTTTCCAGTTGCTTGATCAGCAGACATGGTACAGGGAGAAGGGCAGAAAGCTCCAATTAATATTGTTTGACTGAGTGAAAAGAAAATGAGTCCAAATATTTTTTCTATTCCAAAAGAAAAAAAAAACCTTGTGTGGGAAAAACATAAGTATGACTCACAATCTGGACGTGAATGTTTTCTATGCTGGGTAAAGACATCAAATGTAGTGCATGTCTGCTAGACAAGCTCAGCTGGAGAACTATACTTTAGCAGTTCACTTCTGTTGACATGCAAAAGCTACATTAGAGGTTTTTTGCTGACACTCTTCACAAAGTCAGAATCAAAGCGATGTAAATATAAAGCGCTAGCAGCATGTCCTCGCCATTGTTTTAAAGTCCTTGTCAGGTTTCCTCCTTATGATGCCACAGCAAAGCTCTCTATGCATTGTACTTCTTTAGCAAGTCCCTTTGCCAGTGCCTCTTGCGATCTGGAAAAACTTTGGGCATGCGGATCTTTTTAAAGTCCTCGATGCATTTCTTCAGATCCTCCTCCAGCATTTTCCTCTCATCCTCATCCTCATCCAGCCCAGGCGGGGGGCAGCCGTTCTCCCTGATGCTGGGACGTGGAAGCGTCTTTAGGTTGAGCGTTGTAGGACGCTGGGGGCTGTCAGCGGGAGGCGGCGATGGAGGAGAAGGAGGACTGGATGACGAAGAAGGTTTGGATGAAGGCAGAGGAAGGGGGAAGACCGGGGGTGATGGCAGTGGAAGGTCGGGGATGTCTGGCGCAGGAGGAGGAGGAGGTGGGGGAGGTGTTAGGGGAGGAGCAAGCGGGTTTCGGAGGTCCAGTGTTGGGATGGTGCTGGTTTCAGGAAGGCTTTGGGTTCGGCCACTGCTGCTGGTTTCTGCTGTGGCTGACAGTGTAGGTGCGGCAGTGGGTTTAGAGGCCACTGCTTCAGTGGTAGTCACTGCTGGGGGGTCAGAGGTCATTGCCTTGGAAATATCTGATGAACTCCCTGCAGAAAAAATAAAAAAATATATATTTATGAGCTAAATTTATGCTGATTTCAAATCTTTTCGTGCTTATAGTGAAATAAAAATATTGCTACTGTGTCTATACAATAGGCTACATATGTTCAGTAAATACACAGACAAATCCAGCTGATTAGCTTAGTCTAAAATCAATAGGGAGGGCATTCCAGAATACTAGTTCTTGCCTGAAAGACAGGAGGGCATAACGACCGCCCACAGTCCTGTAGTCATGGTGAGTTTGCCACCTATATGTACACTATATATAAGTACTGGATTTGACTTGAGCACAGGTTAACTAGGGAGCTTTAAAGGTGCCTGTAGGCGTAACAATCTTTGGACTCAGTCAGGCTTTTCTGTTTTCCTCTTTCTAGTCTGTATGCTAAAATAAGCTAAGCTAATCACTCTCTGCATCCAGCAATGCATTCGATTTACAGGCTTCAGAGTTGTACTGCTTTTCTCATTTACCATTCACCGACAAGTGTTCCCATAAAAATGAAACGTATACGAATAACAAGCATTTACATTCAGATGTCTGCTCTGTTTGCATATAGGTCTCAGCCACCTGGGAAGCTTTCCACAAAAATTTGATTACATTTCACCTGTCTTTCTTTCTTTCTTTCTTTCTTTTTTTTACTCCCTCTTCTTTATCAGAGTGTGTCAGTAGTGTGCGGCTGGCACAGAAACAAACACCTGAGTCTTTAGCGTTACAGTTTTTTGTCTCCAAGAGTACAAAAGTAAACACACGCTGGCACAAGAGCATGTAGGAGCATTATGGAGGCAGTAATTAGCAGAGAATGGAGCTCAGCGTGAGAGATGAGGAGAGTGGAGGGCGGTTTCACTGCTTTTTTCAGTTTTAAATTACCTTTGGTTGCATGACTGTTTATCTGTGAAGATAAATACTGGCGCTGAACGGATGGCGTGAAACCTCCTGACCAAAAGCTTAAGAAGCTTTTTTTTTCACAGCGTGTTGATTTTTCATCTCATCTCTGTGTGAGAACTGAGGATGCTGCTGCTGTGGCACTTCTTGGAAAAACTAGAGTGTGTGTACATTGTGTACCTCACGGTCTTTGAAAACCAATGTACCATTTTCAAATGCAGCTTCTATTTCTCTCCCTCTCTTTATTTATTTATTTTTAATGAAACCACTGAGCAAGCAATCAGCCTCTTCCTGTCCTTTTATTTCTGCTGCATGCATGATGGCACACACGCTCTGATTTGCTTGTGAAATTACAGAAAGCACCTGCGTCTACCTTAAAGTGAATGCGCTTAAAAATGTGTCTTCACTTTTATACTAATCTCCCATTTTGACCACAGATAATGTTAAATCTCACTATATTGTATATTTGTTATGTATTCTCAAACTGTTTTGTCATGTGATCCACTTTGTTGAATATTATGTTCTTTCTTAGGCTGGACGTTAAACAGTATGAAGCATTTGAATGAGCAAAACATTTATCCCGTCATTCACATTACATGGGAGCAAGCTAAACACTGTGCTACAATACTACTCAGCAGGAAATGTTTTTCTTCTGCAGCAAGAGGTCTTTAAAATTTTTGAACAGGTATTAGGAGTTCAGAACATGATGATCCAGGCAAACACAAACACAAATGTCGATATAGGGTTCTGACATGCCGTAATGTGCACACAGCTCAAGAGTTTTCAACCAGATTGGATTTGATACAACCACCAGTCACGAGAGGAAAAATGTCTTTTCCATGAAGGGTAGCTGGAGGTTGCTGGCTCTCACAGGGTGAAAATGGTCCCAAGGAGGATGTTGCACCAAAACCTTCCTTTTGGTTGCTTGGAAATGGAGACCATTCATTTGCAAGTCTCAAATTGGTTGCCTCAGCACTGCAACCATTTTATTTTGAAGGAAAAAAGGCAAACGTGTCCTTTTCTGGTTTCTGCCTCACTTTGCACAGTTTAATTACCACTCACAGAGTAGCTGGTGAGTGTTTGTAGGAAAGTTTGCATGGAAACTATTGTCAACCATAGCAATCATTAGCGATTAAAGCATCCACAAAGTAGTTTTTACCAACTGCTTAGAAATGCACATCTTTCTGTTTTGATGGTGGTTGCCAGGAGGTCAACTACCAGCCTCCATGTCTGTTTGACTGGGGTTTTAGTGACTCCCATGAACCTCCAGCAACCACTTGCCAACCTGTCGAGGAATACACATTTTCTTCTCATAAACAGTGCTGGGTGGTCATGGACAGATGGTCTCTAGGGCTTTGTGATTAGGACCTTAGTCACTAAACCCACTTGTCACCTTGACTGCCTTCTTCATCTATTTGATGCTCTCTTTAGATGGATGAGATAATCTGTCAAAGCCAATTATCTGCCTCCATCTGACCCTATGTTTATCATCCTCCTCTGTCATACCAATCCTCTGCATGTCCACCTTCACAACATCCATGAACTTCCACTGAGGTCTTTTTCTTTTCCTCCTCCCTGGAAGCGCCACCATCAACACTCAACAACTTTGTCCAATACATTCTCTATCACTTCTCTGCACATGTCCAAACCATCTCAGCCTTGCCTCTCAAACTTTGTCTCCAAACTGCTTCAAGCAGTCCCTCGGATGTACTCATTGCTAATTTAGTTCATCCTGATCACTCCCAATGAATATCTTAGCATCTTCTATTCTGCCACCTCCAGCTCCACCTCCTGTTTTTTTTGTCTGTCCCACCATCTCCAAATCATACATCACAGCAGGTCTCACTACCACCTTGTAAACCTTCCCTTTCACTCTTGCTGCTATCCTTGTGTCACAAATCACCCCAACACTAGTCTCAAAGATGCCCTTCTTCTTCTTCTTTTTCTTCTTCTTCACCTCTCTAGCACACTGTCTGGGGCTTTGGGTCATTGACCCAAGGCATTTAAATTCTTCCACCTTCACTAGCTCTGCTCCTTGCATACTCATATTTCCATGTGTCTCCCTCTCATTCACACACGTGTATTTTCTCTTGCTTTCATCGACTTTCATTCCTCTTCTCTCTTGTGTGTACCTCGCTCCAGTGCATACCATAATTGTCACATGTCCAAAATGACATACAAGTTAACGTCACATGGTTAGCCATCACATGACTTCAAGATCTCAGTGTGTGTGTTGATGCAACATGGATCATATTAAATAAGAAAAAAAGCATACTTGGACTGTTACCTTGGGGGTCTGACTTTTGCTATTTCCCATTCAAGAAAAGTCTACCAGTAACTGATGCAGAAAAAATGCAAAGGGGTGAAAAAATCCATCAGAATGCAAGAAACGAAGTGTGTGGAGCTCAAAATTTCCTGGGGGAAGACCCTGAGATCCCACAACTAATGTGTCTCCTTCCATTTACCAATGAAACCTACTCCTGTGATCACTCACGTTTCCACTGGCTGTGAAGCATGCAGATACAGTGCATGAAAATGCAAATGAACAGTTAAGCACTCTCAAACATGTTCAGTGCAACAAGCACACACATGCTCACACACACACACATATACACACACAGACATGCTCACAGACATACCATGACACACAACGGCCTGCACTGTTTCCTTCAGCAGAGCTTATCATTACGCTAACCAGCCTTACATAACGGCAAAAGCTGCTTGTGTCAAACGGAGGCGGCACGGCATATTCTCCCAGCTCCTTGGCTTTCTGAATACCTGAATGCGAGTGTGTGACAGAAAGTGCTCAAGCTAGTGTGCAAGAGCAAGTCAGTGTCAGCTGTGTGTGCCTGGGCATGCATATATAAGCGTATGTGTGTGTGCATGTGTAGGTGTGCTTGCGTATGGGCAGATGCGTTTGTTTGTGTGTGTTGTTATTCTGGGCATGAAAAGGAAGACGGCTAAAGACGGAGGGAAAGAAAGGATGTAGGGGGAGGAGGGAACGGGGTAGAAAGATGTTCTCCGCTGTGTGTGCTTGTGCATTTGGTGCATTCAGTGTCTTCATGATGAATACATGTGTTTGTGGGCTTCCTGAACGTGGGAGTATGGGGGCTTAGTAGTGTCAGAGGAGTAATCCACTGGGGGAAGGGCTCCGTGCTTTCCTCCTCCACCACTAAGCCTTATGGAGAAGAACAGCAAGAGAGTGCACTCAACCCTTTCCCCGGGCCACTTCTCCAGGGATATATGCAAAAGCTAGAGCTTTTTCGCACACATCACCCGCCCCACCTCCTTTTTTGCCTTTCCCATCTGTTCAGTGTGTCACATCCCTGCGTTGCCATCATTACTGCTATTAGCAACTCTAATGTGTCACTGTTGCCGGGGTTTATCACCTCTCTCTTATAAAACGTCTCCTCTGCTGTTTGTAATGCTGTCACCTGGATCTTTCATTTTGGTCAAATCAAAGCGCACCATTTATTCCCACACGGAGACTAAATAAAGCCATGAAACAGCTTGTAGGGCCTTAAATAAAGCTGGGTTGATATTAACAGTCAATTGAAATAAAAATAAAGGATTTTCTTTGACTTGTGTAATTATAAAGAGGTTAAAAAAGGCAATGATAAATGTCAAATGGCCACTTGAACAAATCATTCTCATAATAAAATGCCCAGCTTTTGAGCAGAAATAAATATGTTTACATCGTGGTGCAAAAAATGCTTTTAGTCTGTATGGCTAATTTACCCACTTTATAACAACAGGAGAAGACGTGATTCTTTTTAATTAGTAGTAATTTTTAATATTAGTGGCCACTTTGAGCGACAGGTAGCTGATGATACAGGTGGCTGTGTTGCTAGCTAGCTTCACCGCTACTGTTTATGTTAATGCCTTTTGGCCTACTTTAATGCAATAATATCAGACAAATAGCATGGCTCACTGTGTGGTTAACAGTTCTAAGAAGTCCATGTTCCATCTTTGGTGAGGTAAATACTGGGATTTTTATCAGTATGTTAGTAAGAACTGATTAACTGGTATCTGTGCCATATAGGCTCTGTTGACATTTTGCTAACCAAACATGCTAATGTTAGCTGATAACGCTCTCCGATAGCTGAT